TCAAATTAACATCCAAATTCATCTAATTAATATTTAATTTCATCTAATTAATATTCAATTTATCAAATAAACAAAAAATTAACATCCAATTAATATTTAATTCATCAAATTAATACAAAATTATCATTCAATTCATCGAATTAACATTCAAATTCAATTGATTAACATTCAATTCATTAAATTAAAATCAAATTAACATTTAATACATCAAGTTTATATTCAAATTCATCTCATTAAGCCTCAATTTATCAAATTAACATTCAATTCATCATATTAATATTCAAATTCATCCAAGTAACATTCTATTTCTCAAATTAACATCAAAAAGTAAATAATAAACACTCAATTCATTAATTCAACACCAAAATACCAAACATTTTTATCCAATTAACACTCAATTCATCAAATTAACATCCAAATTCATCTAATTAATATTTAATTTCATCTAATTAATATTCAATTTATCAAATAAACAAAAAATTAACATCCAATTAATATTTAATTCATCAAATTAATACAAAATTATCATTCAATTCATCGAATTAACATTCAAATTCAATTGATTAACATTCAATTCATTAAATTAAAATCAAATTAACATTTAATACATCAAGTTTATATTCAAATTCATCTCATTAAGCCTCAATTTATCAAATTAACATTCAATTCATCATATTAATATTCAAATTCATCCAAGTAACATTCTATTTCTCAAATTAACATCAAAAAGTAAATAATAAACACTCAATTCATTAATTCAACACCAAAATACCAAACATTTTTATCCAATTAACACTCAATTCATCAAATTAACATCCAAATTCATCTAATTAATATTTAATTTCATCTAATTAATATTCAATTTATCAAATAAACAAAAAATTAACATCCAATTAATATTTAATTCATCAAATTAATACAAAATTATCATTCAATTCATCGAATTAACATTCAAATTCAATTGATTAACATTCAATTCATTAAATTAAAATCAAATTAACATTTAATACATCAAGTTTATATTCAAATTCATCTCATTAAGCCTCAATTTATCAAATTAACATTCAATTCATCATATTAATATTCAAATTCATCCAAGTAACATTCTATTTCTCAAATTAACATCAAAAAGTAAATAATAAACACTCAATTCATTAATTCAACACCAAAATACCAAACATTTTTATCCAATTAACACTCAATTCATCAAATTAACATCCAAATTCATCTAATTAATATTTAATTTCATCTAATTAATATTCAATTTATCAAATAAACAAAAAATTAACATCCAATTAATATTTAATTCATCAAATTAATACAAAATTATCATTCAATTCATCGAATTAACATTCAAATTCAATTGATTAACATTCAATTCATTAAATTAAAATCAAATTAACATTTAATACATCAAGTTTATATTCAAATTCATCTCATTAAGCCTCAATTTATCAAATTAACATTCAATTCATCATATTAATATTCAAATTCATCCAAGTAACATTCTATTTCTCAAATTAACATCAAAAAGTAAATAATAAACACTCAATTCATTAATTCAACACCAAAATACCAAACATTTTTATCCAATTAACACTCAATTCATCAAATTAACATCCAAATTCATCTAATTAATATTTAATTTCATCTAATTAATATTCAATTTATCAAATAAACAAAAAATTAACATCCAATTAATATTTAATTCATCAAATTAATACAAAATTATCATTCAATTCATCGAATTAACATTCAAATTCAATTGATTAACATTCAATTCATTAAATTAAAATCAAATTAACATTTAATACATCAAGTTTATATTCAAATTCATCTCATTAAGCCTCAATTTATCAAATTAACATTCAATTCATCATATTAATATTCAAATTCATCCAAGTAACATTCTATTTCTCAAATTAACATCAAAAAGTAAATAATAAACACTCAATTCATTAATTCAACACCAAAATACCAAACATTTTTATCCAATTAACACTCAATTCATCAAATTAACATCCAAATTCATCTAATTAATATTTAATTTCATCTAATTAATATTCAATTTATCAAATAAACAAAAAATTAACATCCAATTAATATTTAATTCATCAAATTAATACAAAATTATCATTCAATTCATCGAATTAACATTCAAATTCAATTGATTAACATTCAATTCATTAAATTAAAATCAAATTAACATTTAATACATCAAGTTTATATTCAAATTCATCTCATTAAGCCTCAATTTATCAAATTAACATTCAATTCATCATATTAATATTCAAATTCATCCAAGTAACATTCTATTTCTCAAATTAACATCAAAAAGTAAATAATAAACACTCAATTCATTAATTCAACACCAAAATACCAAACATTTTTATCCAATTAACACTCAATTCATCAAATTAACATCCAAATTCATCTAATTAATATTTAATTTCATCTAATTAATATTCAATTTATCAAATAAACAAAAAATTAACATCCAATTAATATTTAATTCATCAAATTAATACAAAATTATCATTCAATTCATCGAATTAACATTCAAATTCAATTGATTAACATTCAATTCATTAAATTAAAATCAAATTAACATTTAATACATCAAGTTTATATTCAAATTCATCTCATTAAGCCTCAATTTATCAAATTAACATTCAATTCATCATATTAATATTCAAATTCATCCAAGTAACATTCTATTTCTCAAATTAACATCAAAAAGTAAATAATAAACACTCAATTCATTAATTCAACACCAAAATACCAAACATTTTTATCCAATTAACACTCAATTCATCAAATTAACATCCAAATTCATCTAATTAATATTTAATTTCATCTAATTAATATTCAATTTATCAAATAAACAAAAAATTAACATCCAATTAATATTTAATTCATCAAATTAATACAAAATTATCATTCAATTCATCGAATTAACATTCAAATTCAATTGATTAACATTCAATTCATTAAATTAAAATCAAATTAACATTTAATACATCAAGTTTATATTCAAATTCATCTCATTAAGCCTCAATTTATCAAATTAACATTCAATTCATCATATTAATATTCAAATTCATCCAAGTAACATTCTATTTCTCAAATTAACATCAAAAAGTAAATAATAAACACTCAATTCATTAATTCAACACCAAAATACCAAACATTTTTATCCAATTAACACTCAATTCATCAAATTAACATCCAAATTCATCTAATTAATATTTAATTTCATCTAATTAATATTCAATTTATCAAATAAACAAAAAATTAACATCCAATTAATATTTAATTCATCAAATTAATACAAAATTATCATTCAATTCATCGAATTAACATTCAAATTCAATTGATTAACATTCAATTCATTAAATTAAAATCAAATTAACATTTAATACATCAAGTTTATATTCAAATTCATCTCATTAAGCCTCAATTTATCAAATTAACATTCAATTCATCATATTAATATTCAAATTCATCCAAGTAACATTCTATTTCTCAAATTAACATCAAAAAGTAAATAATAAACACTCAATTCATTAATTCAACACCAAAATACCAAACATTTTTATCCAATTAACACTCAATTCATCAAATTAACATCCAAATTCATCTAATTAATATTTAATTTCATCTAATTAATATTCAATTTATCAAATAAACAAAAAATTAACATCCAATTAATATTTAATTCATCAAATTAATACAAAATTATCATTCAATTCATCGAATTAACATTCAAATTCAATTGATTAACATTCAATTCATTAAATTAAAATCAAATTAACATTTAATACATCAAGTTTATATTCAAATTCATCTCATTAAGCCTCAATTTATCAAATTAACATAAAAAAAATATTCAATAAACATTCAAGTCGTCAAATCAACACAAATTTATCAAATTAACATTCAATTCATCAAATATACATCAGATTAACATAAAAAATTATTTAATTAGCATTCAATTCATCAAATTAGCATTCAATTTCATCCAGTTAACATTCAAGTTCACCTAATTAATATTCAATCCACCAAATTTACATCAAATTAACATTTAAGTCATCCAATTAACATGTAATTTATCAAATTATCATTCAATAAACATTCAATTCATCAAATATGCAATTCCATCCAATCAATTTTCAATTTATCAAATTGATATAAAATTAACATTCATATTCATTCAATTAACATTCAATTCATCAAATTAATATTCAACATCGTTCAACATCAAATTTACATTTAGTTTATCAAATTAACAATAAATTAAAATTCTATTTCATTCAGTTAACATTCGATTCATCAAATTAATACAAAATTAACATTCAATTTCATGTACTTAACATTTAGTTCATCAAATTAATATTGAATTTCAAATACAACAAATTAAATTCACCAAATTATCAACAAAATTAACATTCAATTTCATCCCATTAATATTCTATTTATTCTATTAACATTCAATTTCATCTCATTAACATTCAATTAATCAAGTTAACATAAAAAATCTTCAAATCAATATTCAATTCACCAAATCAAGACCAAAATAACATGCAATTTCATTTAATTATACTCAATTCAACAAATTGACATCACATTAGCATCTAAATTTATCCAGTTAATTAAAATTTAATTTTATCCAATTAGCATTCAATTCATCAAATAAATAATAAATTAATTTTTAGTTCATTAAATTAGCACAAAATTCAATTTATCAATTAACATTAAAATTTGTCAAATTAACATAATTAATATTTAATTTCTTCTTGTTGACATTCAATTCCTCAAATTAACATTCAAACTTAACTAGTTAACATTAAATTTATCAAATTAACATTAAATTTCATCCAATTAATATTTAANCTACAAACGCAACCAAAAACAGTAATTATACACCAATATTTTTCAATTCTTATTTCCATTAAGATATTCTATGTATCCTCGGATTCTACGACAGGAATGGGCATGTGTTATGCTGGAATGAGCTGAATTTTGAGCTTTTTTGCAATTTCAGCCACATACTTGCCCTGATAAAAGGCCTGTTGAAATTCTAGCTCTGTTGGCTGACGAGACCCACCTCCTGCATATGTTCCAGAACCATAGCAAGATCCACCCTTCACCTGCTCCATCTCAAACATCCCATTACCAAAAGTGTAGCCAAGAGGGACAAATATCATTCCATGATGTGCCAACTGTGTAATGAATGTTAATCTGCATGTAAAGGAGAAGAACATTGTACAAAACATCCATTAGACACAAAATTCTTCAAGTAAATAGAAGGAAGAATTGAAAAATAAACACTAGTTAATGATCTTACCTCAGACCAGAAAGCCATTCATAATAAATTTTTGCAAACAAATTCTTAGTCATCCAGAATTACATAACATCAACCAATATGGATTCAATCAGTCAAGATTTATCGATCCTTACTAATTATCATTTTTCTTGGCCTCCAATCAAGAGTGCCAAGGCCGAGAAAATCACAACCATTTGTAGGCAGCTTTTCCATATATTTTTAGAGTTGGGCATATCACCGTGCCTGTATCATATCGTTCATATATTATGGACAACAAATTTCAAAGTATACTGTTGAAGACAATAATCCTTACTACTGAACAGTGCTACTAATTTGGGAGGCACACTTATGGAGTCACAGAATCATAAACTGCTCCAGATAATCAATAAAATTACGATGTCAATAACCAAACTATTTTGATAGACACATACATAGTCATTTGTCTATGTGTCTATTGTAATTTAGTAATCTATAATAAGAGTTCATAAAACATAGCAGAAAGATGAGAANTCTATTGTAATTTAGTAATCTATAATAAGAGTTCATAAAACATAGCAGAAAGATGAGAACTTACGCGGTAAGCTCCTGACCTCCCCCATGGAAACCAGTGCTCCAGAACACTCCAGCAGGTTTACCAGCTAGTGCTTGTGATGCCCATAACTCATGGCTGGCATCAAAGAAGGCCTTGAATTGGGCTGCCATCATGCCAAAACGAGAAGGAGAACCAAAGATAAAGCCATCAGCTTCCAAAAGTTGTTCCGGCTTGATCTCTCGCACATCATTTGCTTTAGAAGGAGCCTTCATCTTTTCTAATACTTGATTATGGAGCGTCTCAGGTACCTATTTTATTCAAATTAAGAGGAACTTAACAAGAATACCAAAAATTCTCTATTTCCATTAATAAGCATTTCCTCTATTTGTACATTATATTCGTCCCATTGTCATGTCCTCCATGTTTCCAATCTTCCTTTCCACTAGTAAGCTCTAGTTATGTGAACATTTGTCTGATTCAAATAGTTCTTCACTTCTTTGTTTGTTCAATGTTAAATTACCAGAAAAAATATTTGAATTGATCTTTTATTGGAGGATACAAGTGGAGCAATTTCATTGCTTGAATGAGATGATGGTTCCTTTGTAATTAGTTAGATGATGTCATTGCTAAAATTTTATTGGAGTAATTGTTTAAATTCAAATAAGTTCATCTGCCACCATCTTGACTTGAAATGCCTATAAATAGGTATGGGTCTCTTAGTTTTTGAGATCATCCCAAAAAATTGTATTAGTTCAATTTTTCTTTCTCTTTGTTTTAGAGAGTTTTTTTTATTGGAGTTTTGAAAGGGTAAGGTTAAGCGGATTGTATATGGGTTAAGGGCTTGGGTTTGACATTTAAACTTGAGTGGTGAGACTTATACCTTTGTACCCATTTTCTTTTATTAGTAAAGAAAGGAGACCGGATCATGCCTCATTGACATAGACAAATCAATTTTGCAGAACCATGTAAATTTTAGTGTTGTGAATTGTGCAATGATTTTCTTTATTTCGCTAACTTATTTTATTGTCATTGTCCGAACAAATTGCTGCGAGGTTTATTCCCTACATATCTCCAAGGGAATTATTTTTTTTTTTTGGGCAATTTGACTCATTTTTCGGCGATTATCTTTGGAATCTAGATTGGCTACTTAGTTTTGATCCCATCATTAATCTNTACGAACAAATTGCTGCGAGGTTTATTCCCTACATATCTCCGAGGGAATTATTTTTTTTTTTTGGGCAATTTGACTCATTTTTGGGCGATTATCTTTGGAATCTAGATTGGCTACTTAGTTTTGATCCCATCATTAATCTCCGATTGAGGGAAATCACTACCTTAAGAAACAAATGAATCACTATTATCCAACAATAACAGAAAGTTTTGGTAAATTTTGGCAACATAAAATCCCTTTTTCTAGTTAAAGTCAGATCCATTAGACTCTGGCATGCCCAAAAACCTAATATTTGCAAAACACATCATTATTATAGATGCACTACATAGGAGTAGTACCTGCCATAGTGTTGCTTCAACTCCTTGAACCGAGTTGGCTCCTCGTTGAATTTCTCGTGCCATATGCTCCACATGCCCATACAAGGAGTAATACCTATAGTAACAATGAGATTCAACAACAACAATTACTCTTCAGAAAAATAAATAAACAAAGGAGAATAACTCCATCCACCGTAAACAATTTTACATGAGCGCAAGCTTTTATTTTGTGTGCGCGCTTGTGTGAGGTAATAAGATAATGATATCTATTTGTGGGTTTGAGAGAGTTGGGTTTACTTACACTATGTAGACCTTAGTTGTGGCCATGATTGCATTTCAAGGGAAGTACAGAACAGCAACCCCTGAAAAGAAAAAGCATCCAACAACAATTCAATCTAAAATCCTTTTTTGCGATGGTGGGTGAAGCATCAACAAGGTGGGGCAAACAATTTTTCATACAAAAATGCAATTACTTTCTTCTTTTCTCAGCAATCAAATAGCGTATAGGGGGTGGTTTACCATCAGGCAATGAAACTAGTTTAGACTTTTCATCAAACAAAATGAGTGAAAAAGACAACCGATGCCCAAGTTCTAAGATTCCGCCACGTTGGAAATCCTTATCAAGTCTAGTTCCGGTTCTAATCCTCTTATCCATCTCATAACGGTGGCTTGACGTCTACAAAGAGGACGATGTACGGTCAGAGTTGGCCATCGTAGCGTTTCAAATAGGTAAGATCACAACACAAATTTTGTGGATAAGTTTACGACAGAAATGAGTTAAATTATAACCACTGTGCATGAATTTATAACAACTTTAGTTATTTTACAACAGTTAAGGATGTATTATACTATGATGGAGGTGAATTTACAACAAATTGAATAAGATTACTACCTATTGTAGGTAAAGTTACCATATTTAAATGTCACATTACAAAGATTGTGGGTTAATTTATGATAGAAATAAGTTAAGTACAACAATTTTGGACGAATTTATAACAACTTTGGTAAAACTAGAACAATTAAGGGTACATTTACAATAGTTTAGCATTAAGTTACAACAATAGTAGACAAAGTAACAAGAGCATAGGCCAAAGTTACTATTGTATTGGCCAAAATCATCCTAGTATTATCCTAAAAGTGGCAATATAGTCTCCAACAATGGTAACATACCCCAAACAGTAGTGACATTACCCGAATAGTTGTAAACTCACATCAAATCATGGTAAATTCACTCAAATTGTTATAATATCATCCCAAACAATTGTATTTTTGATCCAAGTAACATTCAATTTATAACATCAATGTTCAAATTCAGCAAATTAACATTTAATTATTAAATTAATATCAAAATAAACATTAAATTCATCAAATTAATATTCAAAATTATCAAATTAACATTCAATTCATCCTATTAATATTCAAATTCATCCAAGTAACATTCTATCATCAAAAAGTAAATAATAAACACTCAATTCATTAATTCAACACCAAAATACCAAACATTTTTATCCAATTAACACTCAATTCATCAAATTAACATCCAAATTCATCTAATTAATATTTAATTTCATCTAATTAATATTCAATTTATCAAATAAACAAAAAATTAACATCCAATTAATATTTAATTCATCAAATTAATACAAAATTATCATTCAATTCATCGAATTAACATTCAAATTCAATTGATTAACATTCAATTCATTAAATTAAAATCAAATTAACATTTAATACATCAAGTTTATATTCAAATTCATCTCATTAAGCCTCAATTTATCAAATTAACATTCAATTCATCCTATTAATATTCAAATTCATCCAAGTAACATTCTATTTCTCAAATTAACATCAAAAAGTATCTAATAAACATTCAATTCATTAATTCAACACCAAAATACCAAACATTTTTATCCAATTAGCACTCAATTCATCAAATTGACATCAAATTAACATCCAAATTCATCTAATTAATATTTAATTTCATCTAATTAATATTCAATTTATCAAATAAACAAAAAATTAACATCCAATTAATATTTAATTCATCAAATTAATACAAAATTATCATTCAATTCATCGAATTAACATTCAAATTCAATTGATTAACATTCAATTCATTAAATTAAAATCAAATTAACATTTAATACATCAAGTTTATATTCAAATTCATCTCATTAAGCCTCAATTTATCAAATTAACATTCAATTCATCATATTAATATTCAAATTCATCCAAGTAACATTCTATTTCTCAAATTAACATCAAAAAGTAAATAATAAACACTCAATTCATTAATTCAACACCAAAATACCAAACATTTTTATCCAATTAACACTCAATTCATCAAATTAACATCCAAATTCATCTAATTAATATTTAATTTCATCTAATTAATATTCAATTTATCAAATAAACAAAAAATTAACATCCAATTAATATTTAATTCATCAAATTAATACAAAATTATCATTCAATTCATCGAATTAACATTCAAATTCAATTGATTAACATTCAATTCATTAAATTAAAATCAAATTAACATTTAATACATCAAGTTTATATTCAAATTCATCTCATTAAGCCTCAATTTATCAAATTAACAT